CGTAATGCCACGTAGTTACGAGTTGAACTTGTAGAACTCATGTGATGATATGCACCTTGAATTATATGAAAGCGATAACGCGAATATTGAAAACAGTGTTTAATATTTTATAAAAAAAGAATAACATCAGCTATCATGGTAACAATCAAAAGCATGTACAAAGTATCATGAAATAAATGTCCAAATTAGTAAGAAGACAAATGAAATTCTAAAGTATTCTAATGAAAAGCAGAATTGAGACAACTTGTTCAGTGTTTTCAAAGGAATTTATAAGACTTTTCAATGGATCATTTATTGCTTCTCTTTCTTCTAAGTAACCATCTCCAAATTATACAACCGACGCATGTAAGAAATAGAGAGGCGACAAAAGGAATTACAACGTACAAGTACCAATGTGACTTGTGTTGCTTATTTTCTTTCGTTGTCTTGGTAGTCTGAAGAAAAACAAAGAATTATCAGTTTTTAACAAATATCAAATATTTACAAAGTGTTTATCTGTTTCTCCAGTAGTTTTCATGAGGTTTTCACTAACCCGAACCTCAGTGATCCCCAATGTTGTTTCACTGTGTTCCATAATTGTTGAATTATTCAAATTGTTGACATCCGAGTTCTTCATAATAATTCAATCAGAAGCATTGATTACTAAACATCAAATATCATTCTTTTAATTCATTATTCATTACAAATCATTCCCAGTAATGATGACACAAGAGATTCTCATACATAGTTGCTGAATTCGAATTCGTCAAATCATTCAGAATATCTATTAGCGATTTGACAATCAGTGTGCTCAGTAAACACGATCCTACACCTAGTTGACGACCCCTTTGTGTGATGAAATATGTGTTCTGGATGTCACATCTAATCACAATCCGAATATAAAGCAAAAGACTTATAAGGTACAGCTTCATTGAAGCAATCTATTGAGGTTACATATTTTTCTACAGAGCATCATAATCATTGTTCCGGGATTCAACAATGGTAGGCTACATACTTTCACTAATTCTCCTAATGTGATACACAATTTCTAACTGTTAACGCTTCTTCACTTTACCTGGTTTCATCGGTATATTGTTACCATTGACATACATCTACGATTACATTTAGGACTTTCGAAATTACGGTTTATTCACTGAGCTGAAAACATAATTCGCTTTGAAACGATGATGATGAGCGATGCTTCGATTCATTATTTACTGTTTTCACGAAAAGGAAGCATGTACTGATATGTCGGCAGCCTATACAAAGCTTTTATTTAGTTACTGAGGGTGGCTAAGATGCCATTTCTTATTGATAGCAATAAAAGTATTTTTTCCAGTTAAAACATTTGCTCAGAATGTGAAATTTGATGTTATTGCAAACGACATATGAAGTTTACCAATTACCAACCTCAAAACGGAAGTCATGAGTGTCCTGACTTATTATACATTTCTCCTCTTCTTCATACCAAAAACATGTCATAGTCAATGTCGTCGCATTTTGGCATGCTTCACTTGTATTGTATTGCGAACAAATTTCTATGAAAAGAATAAGGTGAATTCATTTGAAGTTAATGAATAGAAGAACAGAGAAATAAAAAACCTGTAAATATTGCTCAATGACGTGATGGTGATTTCTGAGTTAAGTGACTTATCCATTCGGTGGAAAATGGTCAACATGGTGCATCATGCAAAAATCAGTACACCTTCAATTTCTCTTCTATTTCAAGACTGCATTTTTGGATTGAATGAAATTACTTTGAGTACAAAGAACAAGTGACAACTTTTTGACGAGGGGAAATTGATGACTTTTAATAACTGTTCGCATTCAGATATGTGCACACTACGTTGTCACCGAGTTCAGCAAATCGTATTGCAATTGACTTTGATGGTTTTACACTTTCTTTCCATGAAATCGTTTTTGTGAATGAGATAAGTGCCATAAACTCGGTTGTTCATAGAAACAAAATTTACGTTGAACTATAATGATTCAATTAAACAACAAAGGAAAAGTGACATCGTTCTTTCAATCGTCAATGACAACTTCAATGCCGCAGAAAAATTCTACATCATATATATCAAGATAATAACCAACACTTCCTTGTCAATGCACAGTCGCTCACTGACACCTAATATTTTTCGAAACCGAAAGCATTCCATCATTCATTTTGTGACTTTATGTTCAAGTTAACTTCATCAAGGTGAAAACTTTAATGTAGTTGAAATCCGGTCGTTATTCATTCTTAATATTCAAAAACGAATCAACGGGTAGTTGCCTGGATATCATTTATTAAATGATACATGGGATTTTCAATTTTGAGCGAACAAAACTGATGTATTTAAAAGCGAAAATACCAAGTGCTGATTAAATCAAATTTCACGTACCTTCGATGTCTTCAAACACCACCAACGTACCACTTTTGATCCATTTTGCTGGAACAGGTATCTCATGAGGCCTTGTGGTACCTTGTGTGACAAATTGAAAGGAAGAAGAGGTTTAGAATTTCGACTTCTTTTTGAAGCGATATAAGTTTATTTGCTTCACTTAAGTAGAGGGCAAATCAATGATCTGTAGTATTTTTCATTGCGTACAGAGTGATGGCTGTCCTAAAAAAACTATGGTTTACATTGCTCTGATTTTTGAAACCGACCCGTTAAATTATAAATGAAATAGTTACGTTTCTGAGTTATTTAACGATGAAATCAGCTGGACGTCTGGGATAGATGCGTTCATCCCCTTATATATTATTTCACAATGCATATTACACGGAGGCAACATTCAAATCTACAAATCAAGGAACAATGGTGATTTGTATATCAATCTCAGACGCGCGTTTCATCTTATTTAGGACTTATCAGGGACTGAAAACCAGCACCATTCATTTTCATTTACATTCGGTTATCCACTTATCCAGTCAGTCCATATACTCAATGACTTGTGAAACTGTATGAAGCTTTAAATCATTTTTGAATTGTTATTGAATCTTCCGATTGATGTTGAGAAACCGTATTTGATTCCACTGCTATTCCTCATCCATCCGCACAATGCTTGTGACTTCAAGCAACATCCAGATAATCCTAACAGAGTGCATATATATGAATAAGGGACTGATCAGTTGCAGTACAAATCACTCATGTGAGGACTGAACCAAAGAATGCAAAATGACAATTATCTTCATTGTTTAAATGCCACTTAAACCTGTCAATGCAGAACATCTGTCGGAACATTTGATGAACCTTCTCACATTCAATCATAAACACTGTATCTCACCTATTCACGTACACTAAAAACTCCTTTTCAAACTCAGCTTCATCTCTCAACAACACATGTTTATTTCAGTGAAGCAAGACGATTGAAAATTTCGTAGATGAAATATCATTTCCAAACTAGCACTGCTTTATTTCTGCTTCATACAAAACACACTTCCTTTTACATTGAGTGTTGAGATGATCAAAGACTGCAAGTTTGATTGTATTACTGTGAGTGTGTGAATGCATGAGTGGATATATTTTGATTTTGATATAGTTATTCATATATCCATATCTGAGTGAGTCTACCGGTAATCATAACTGTAGGAAGTTCTTAAAATATTTGGACAGTGTGTTTACAGAAATAATTCCAATTTCATTCTGCACAATGAGCCACAACACTTGAATGACATTTCCACAAACTGACTTTACGCAAGAAGCAACTGAATAATAATCACTGTTAGAAAGCTCTCTCTAATAAGATACATGGATTTTGTTCATTAACATGCTCATGACCTAGTACAAGTAGAGAGTAATATAAAACTAACTGGTGATTGATGATGTACGTCACCGTACATCAAAGACTTAACGAGATTTGTCCTGCTTAAACATCTGAGCTACCTGTTTCCGTCATCTAGATATTTCAAAAAGTTATCTAAATTTGTTTGTTTTAATACATCATTATGCCTAGTAATCGCACAACCCATTCAGATGCATTTCTGAAAAGAGTAAGTGTTTTAGCTGTAACGGTTGCAGAAGGCAATATGCAGCGAGAAGTATGTACATTATCCAGATGTCGATTGACTGTGCTGCAAACTTCTAAGTGGCGATCACTAAATATTAATCTTCAGGAAGGACGAAGAAGTAAGAAACGGAAACTTGCTGAAGTACATTGTGCTGAGAATTCCATATTGTACCAAAAATATAATATTGAATAAAGCTAATAATAGTAATAGTAATAATTCCCTGAAATATTTCTTACCATCTTGACAACTTATTCGTCCAAAGATTCTCGAATGCAACTCACTTTCCTCAATTACCGTAGGAATCTGAAAAAAGATTGTTGAATGTCTGAGACAAGATCTGCTACCACACAATCATTTATATGAAATCAAATAATTACGGGAGAAATGTATCATCATTTAGATCATCTCATTAAAAGCCAACTAATCGCACTCACACTAGGCATACTGATATTCTCAGTTTACTTTCCATGAATGTTCCATCCAATCTGTATAGATATTCTTGTCAACTTCGGTCAAGTGTTATGGACTATCTCTCTATCATGATATGTGGCGATAACTTGTGAGATGAATATCACCGTCCATTGAAATGAAATGAGATTGTGAATATTTGACAGGATGCTGCACTCAGGATATTCCACAGTGAACATTCTGAACAGCCGATCGTCACTACATGAAATAAAACTCAACAGAATATGACTCTTTCCGTATAGTAGGCAAACATTCACAGCCAGTTACTATTTGACACGAACAGGTTATTGTTTCTTCAGAAAGAACTTTACTTCTGATTATTCACTGTTCATACCATTTGCTTGATTAGTGTCACTAGAGGATTGATAATAGTGTCAATCAGTTTGCTTGCCTATTACACAATGTTGATCTCTTTCTATCGTGTTCAGTGTAACTAGATTAATCTGACAATATTGATCAACATGAAATAGTAGAATGATGTGAATTACTTGAAACAATATCACATTTTCACTAAATTATGCAACTCACGTTATCATAATAGAAAGATACCTTCCCATTTGGGTGTATTAAAGTCGTCATTGTGAATGTAACCTCTACAGTAAAAAGAATATTGATACTCAGGATTTAGGATTTAAACGGTGAGCAAGTTATTGTTTGATGTAACATTGTGGACAGATTTCAGTGGATATTAACTGTGTTATCTGAAATGCTTACTTCAGATGGATTGATAATAAATACATTGAAGTGAACGTCATTGAAATGAGACGGACATGAATCCCTTCTAATAAATGTCAAATGCCTAGATTCTGAAGTCGTATTACTATTATCGAAACAATAAATCGTCTTTTTTACCATCAGGGATGTAATAACATATGCACAATATTCTAATTAATTCAATTTGAAACAATGGACACTCAGTACGCATGACATGATCTCAGAAGTGTTTGTCTACATATTGAACTTGAGAAATAAATTGGTGGTATATATATAAAGATTTCTATCGGTTAACTGATTCTGACTTCAGTGTCCATTTGTTGTAGATGAGAAACGAATAGCTTTAGATAACGATTCCTCAGTTTGCAACGTCAATATTTGGGAATGACTATGCGATGAAAGGATGTGTAAATGAATATAATGTGTGCAGCAATGGCTTTGTGACCAATGTAGAACACAATTCATCTATTTTGGTACACAGAGTGTTTATCAAGTTCCACTTAAACCTGAAATGATGATAAATCTCTGCATTCATTTTCAAGCAAGCAGAATGAGATTGTGACTTTAATTATCCATGATCACTAATTTATGGCCTGTCAAATCCAGTCATTCACAGTTCATTTCAACTGTTCACAATATTTCAATGGATGTACTCAATAAGTGAGTGAATTTCACATTCAATTCTACTATCGTTTGCCAGAATAAAAGCACCTTCATTCTTTTGTTAGTAATTTGGAAGGTTGGATTTGTTTGAGATGAACAGACAAAGTATCAGTAATCACAGGTAGTGAAGATGTAAGTGTAAAAGTTTCACGCGTGTGATCGAACGATCGATCAATGTTTACTCACCTGAATCATTAACGTATATCGAAAAATTCCTTCGGACTCCTAATAATTCATCTGAAATAATGAAAATCAAAAGGGATGTTCAAATATTTGAATATTGATTATCTATCTCTTTCAATAAATATACATTTTAACAAGGACTGCCGACTTATACAAGTTGTCGTATTCATTTACAGATTTAAATGAACCGGAGTAGTTATATGTTAAATCATCTCTCATGAGAAAGTTACAAGGAATATTATCAATTCAACAATATGATGAACGTTTCAACGCAATCAACTGAGAAAAATATTTCACTTCTTTAAAATTTCTCTTAGAAGTTTCTGACTGAATAGTAGACAATTAATAGGCATTCGACAATACAACAACAAAGTGTTTTTTGGATCTGTAGCAAGCCCATTAAACTACTGTATTTTTTATGTGCTCTCTGTAATCCTAACATTTAACCCACTGTAAATTTATGTGTGAGTCTGATTGAGCGCATGTCTGCACATCAATCTTTAATCTATTCTCTCATTGGTTGTAAACAAAGACAATCAATAATTTATCCACAATCCATTAACACTCAAAAATATATATGGATTTTTAACACTCACACACACACTCACTCACTTGTTTTCCCTGTGTGCTTGCTTTCTGTACGCTTGCGGATTTTACCGAGCTTCATCAATAAACTATCTCTATAACTGGTGTTCAGGCTTTTGAATAATCTCGAGTAAACCCGTAATTCTACTAGAAGATTTAGCCTACAGTAAAATATCAGTTAGCGGGATATTATTTATTTATTGGAGTCAGATATAGAGGAAATTAATCCTCTACAGATCCCGTTATTCATCAATTCTTACGTTTGACCGAAATAAATGGACTTCAAATATAACTTGATAATTCATAGGCTTCAATAATCCAAACCGCCTTCTCTCACAACATGGCTTACTATTGCACAAGTGATCACTTTTATTCACTCAGTCTACCATGGAGTATCGTGTAGATGAGATATCTTCTCATTTATAGTTTTCATAGACTGGAGGGTTGGTAATTTACACTTTCGCAATTATATCACATGGTTTATCATTTCTATTCGATGAAAGTGTATATTTTCAGGTAGATCTCTGTTTAATTTAACGGTTTCACTTTACAGCATTCAACACTTGCTGCGATACACACACGTTCTGTTGCAAAAACAACACAAACACAACAATCACTTTGTATTGGTTACCACTCCTGTAATCATCAAGATAAATACTGAATCTTTTATACAAAATAAGTGTGAGAAAAGTGATCAAAACAAAGAATAACTGAATAATATAAGAACTCACCCTCTTCCAAAACTCTAGATTCAGACTTCTCATAGTTTTCTATGTAATTAATAATATTTCCAATTTTGGACGATCCATATACACGTACATAATCTGTATTTATTGGATGAAAACATGGCACATTATTGATAAATTTGTAATGAATGAATAAACAATTTGAAATAATAAAACTGAACTGTATTTGGTTTGCTATAAAGAGTCAAACCATGTTGAACAATGAAAAAAATATTGAAAGAAGTTTTACATGTTAGAAGGAGCACAAAACTGATTCACTGAAGAAAATGGAATCAACTTCGATTCATTAACAGAAATTTCATCAAAAAAACTCAATAATAATTTGACTTCCAAGAAAATTTATGACTTACCATATTCGTAAAATTCAAATTCTTCAACGTGACTACCGTAATAACTAGACCAGAATTTAGGATAAGCCTCCTAAAATGTTGCAAACATATTGAAAAATATTTTTATTATAAAGTGTATTCAACTCACGTATTTGCGATTTATCTTATTTTTAAAACGGTCACTCGGAACTGGTTGAGATTGATAACGTTGAATCCTCATTGAATATTTATAATGAAGAGACTGGAATATGCGTATTAGAATGTATCTGATTACTTACATATCGATAAGTATCATTCTCAAAAATGACGTTCCCATAGCGTTGCAAACCACGGTTTGTGAAAATGCTATTGCAGTTGAAACGTTTGTAGGGCCAAACGAAGATAAGATAAAAAAGTATCCATAGACTAGGCGAAAAGTTATATCTAAAGTAATCAGGATGAACAAATCAACTGTATCTCATGGAGTCAAATTTCAATTTCAGTTCGTATGTTCATTCAACACTTACCTCATCTTATCGTGTGAAGCTGTAAATCAAATTTTTATAGAATTTCTACGGTTTATATAGACTTTTGAAGTGTAAAGTTGTTCTCTTCTGATTCGATGATTCAAAGTAACCATTAGAAAGATCGAATTTAATAAAATCAGATGTTTATTATAAACCAATCATATGACATCGTAAACCAATATTCTTCTGTCTGTTGAGATCATCAGCTGAAATTTATTCACTGTTGGTTGAAATTTCTGACACCTGTGGATAAAACTTCTCTTCGATGTGATAGACGATATTCTGAAATAGGTGATTGGTTAAATTGTACTTCAAAATATGTGCTCATATGTTTACGAACAAACAGTTTGTTGTCTGTAATCATGTATTGATTATTCGTAAACGATGAGTTGTTTTTATTTGATTGGGTAAAATCAAAGTAGCACAAATTGTTTTTAATTGGATGGTAACAAATACACTTTCACACATGGATTTTGTTCTAATGAGCACATTTTGTTAAACGATTTCACCGTCGTTTTTTTCGAAAATTGTAACTTCTGAACAATGTCACATCCATTCTATTTCTATATCACATTATAACACTGACTATCAATAGATGTCTAGATCAATAAGGAAAATGATTTTCCTATTGAGTACATTGAAATAGAATCAATTGTGCTCAGTCTCATAGACTGAGTTCCAAAATCATTGTAATCAGAGGAATATAATGCATTCCGCCGAAAGTGAACTGTTGGAAATGTAGAACGATTTATTATACCAGACACATTCGAAACTATAACATTGATCATTGTATCTGAAAACTAAAATGTTTGTCAGTACTCAAATAGAAGACTGATTTTCACCTGTGTGTATTTCAATGATCTATTCCCTCACATCAGTTGAGCTTGTATTTTATATCATCTGTGCTCAAATATAAAAGAAAATCACAGTGATAAGATAATGTCAAGTGTATACTTAACTTACACTAAACATTGAATACTGACGAATGAATAAAATTCTACACATTCATAACTGAATAATAATTTTGATGAAATAAGTCAGGAATGTTTGTTTTTGCATGATATTTAAAAATAGTTTTCCTCCTGACACAGTAGAGGTGTTTTGTTTTACTTTAGACAGATATGAACACTAATCAAAATGTTGTTACCTTGACAATCACTGTTTGTTGTTGAATAACAAGACTGTTTGGGTAATTTTGTGAATTCATCAACATCAAAATTGTTTTCAGTGTTGTATTGTCAATTCAATGCCGTTGACCAATATTTAATTACGAAAGGAAAAGTTATCTGTGCATGTGATAGTGTAGATCAGTTAATCTGCTTGAGAAGAGTGTGATTCAGATCATGAAGTATTCAGTGGAGTGTCTCCCTGTACCGTCATGTCTATTTCGCATATTGTTATTGGCAATTGTGTTGTAAGTATGAAGTATGTTTCACAACATAAAGAGGCTACGTGCTTTTAAGGTTATGCGACATCAGATCTTACATTTTGCCAGGTCTTGTATATAACTTCTTATTCTTCAATCTTCTTCATAATCCTTTGACAAGCTTTAAAAAGAAAGCGTTTGCTGTATTGTGAGAAATACACAAAGCAGTTGACAAGGTGTGTGGTGAACCTTTTGAAGTCATCAGTAAAATGACAATGAATAGACTTCTAATGTCTAGCTCAAACCTGAAATGTGTTTTCCTAATAATAACCATCAATTTCGTTCACTATTTTTCCTCGTATATCTTCCGGTAGAAGCTGTAGAAATGTATTTATAGATGAGGCTATAGTGGACTGTGGTGAAACAGAGTAGTTTTACAAAATTATCAAAAGATAATGAAATTCATCGAAGAGAGTCTCAATGGAAAAGTAAGAAACGGACTAGAATTGACTTTGCGGATTTGCTTGCTCCAGGTAGGGAAATTAATTCGATCTATTCTCCTTCCTCAAGAGCCAGAAGAATATGCAGTGATAACACAATTGGTTATGATGAACTTAATATAATTAAACAAACTCTACTGGAAACAGCCTACAGAACCATCTCAATTAATGACTGCTATCTGAAATCAGGATATCAAGTTGAATGAAACCTCATACCTAGTAGGAATAATTGACGACAGAATATTGAATTCAAAGGAAACATTGCGTCGTAGATTTCAGAGAACGGACTATTCATATCCTTAAAAAGCATTCTATTCTGCCGTATTCCGAGTTGTTTTCTGTAGCAGGAATCTAATCAGGATAGTCTCAATGATCAACTTATGCTTGGTGAGATGCATTAATTCATTTGCCATAATATGCACTTAAGGCAAAACAGATGACAAGCTATATACAATGCATAAAACGTTTTCCGAGAATGACACTAAAGCTATGTTAATTGACAGTGCGAAACAAAGAGACAGTGGAGTGCGATTTCAGTTTCCCAATAGCTACGAACAATTGTTCGTTCCGTTGTTTCTTTGTATTCCGTCTTCTCTATTTCAATTAAATGGACAATCATCTTTAACATCTCTTTATCATTAGACAACACAAAGTCTTTGACAGCTCATAAGTATATTTGAAGTGATTGAGAAGATAACTCTGATCAAAAGAAACACACTGTCCTCGATGAACAGTAAATGTTATAACAGAAAGAAACGCGTGCTACTTTCATCCTCTCATAACTGTTCAAACTGAATACAGTCACTTGACGATTCAGTCACCAATATGTGTTTCAATATCACGTATAATTACCACAATTACTATTTGGCTTCTTTCAATTTAATATACGTTGCCACGTAAGAAAACTATTTTTCTAAAAGTAAAAATAATGATAAGAATAGTTTCTATGATGTGATAGTGTGATCTGTCTGTTAACCTTGACCGTTGTTTTTGTTGTTGTTCAAATATCATTCATTTTAATTCCGCGTTGTTTATCATCAGATTTCATCTATGATATGACATTTTCATTTGTATAATGAGCGTGATATGAGTTGTCATTATAATGAGGGATGCCGCTCTCTACTAACACGTTCATATGACTGTTAATTATTGACACATACAAAACGATAAAATGAATGAAATTTTCATTTCACATATGGTGACTACTTTTCTTAATACAAAATGAAGTGATAACAGATAGTTTGTTCATCACTTTATAGGAGGTCTTTATTCAGCTGTGAAATTCATCTACAATGTTAATTCAATTTAGTCCAGTAATACTGGTCGAATTGAATTATCTTGATTTCAAGTCTTCAGTTTATCAATCAATGAAACTATAATTAACAATCACGATACTATCTGAATCGATTAAATAATACGCCCCATAATGATTGACTATGAGATCGTGATCATTCATCTTGATGACAATGTCCACATACCATTCTGTGTCACGTTCTATATCAATCACTGTGATAGATGAACATAACGTTACTCAATATTCTGAACAGATACATTTGACTGTTATTCAAATAAATAATAATAATAATATATTCTGAAAATAATACTAATTACACAATTCACACCAGTTTACAGGCATGATCAATTTGATCTATATAGCAACAATAGATGTAGAGAACAAACATGAGGCACAGGAGATTGTTTTCAGTTTACTAGTTCAGTAATTGTTTATGTAGTTTATTTATGTGACATGTATCACGGTAATCCAATACAGGGAACTTGTTATTTTTTACTTAAGTGGATAGACTGATGATTTATGAACGGTGTTGTTTAAGGTTATTCCCAAGGCCACGACGAATGATTGATAATTATCTACAACTAGAGAAAGTCAAATTAAAACTGAGAGCACGAAACAACAAAACAATGATTACGAAAATATGTCTGTCAGGTTTACCACTGTTCAAGTTAGATATTATTCAAATAAGTTAAGGTTTCTAGGGCCAGGGTTAGTGTAAATTGACAGCAAGTAAGTGGTTAAACATTTAAAGTTCTTATAATCACACTTGTGGACTAATATACACTTACAGGCACTAGAATATTTAATGCATTTTCATAGATGCAGTATGCATCACTGGAGCGATCAAAATAATGAGAGAGACTTTATCTTTAGATAGTATATGGGAAAATATCCTACAGTCTAGAAAATTTACAGGCAAAGTACGTCCACTCCCACTATTATCTACTTCAAAAGGAGTTGCAGAGCATGGGGTATAGGTTATAAACGAATTCTTATTATTTGGAGAAATAGGGCATTTCCAGGCTCATTTATTTGTCAGTCGGACCATTTTACTTTAACATTTAATTTAAACGTTATTAATAAATAATGAACTGAGATTCAACGACATTTATTCACACATTACAAAAATTCAGCCTAATTGTAACGCAAAGTTCAAACGTACCGCTTGGATATCAGATCTGAGCTACCCGATAATGAAGTAAAACACCAGCTTCACATCACTCTCTGATTTCAAACACCTACAAGGTTTATAATAGAGCAGTTGTTGAAGTGATGGAATAACGATGCCAATCCTTCACGGAATTGATGGTCGCAACGTGAAAACACGAATCATTTTCTGACAATATAATCCAATCTCAAGAAAAGGCAACGCAATTCGTCTCTATCCGAATCATCATCCAAAATAGAATCTTAGTTGTGGATTTATTACACCTGTATTGTTCAATTTGTTATAAACATGCCTTCCGATAATAATGTGTCAAGTTCACAGTAAACACCGTCCTCGAGGGCTCTTAATCTTCCTGTTCACCTGTTTTAAGGTCACCGTTCAGTAGCTTTGGTTTATTGGATTCGCAA